ATGGATATCTTAACTGGTAAATGGGTGTTTGATCGACAATTAGAACAGTAAGGGAGAGACAATCCGGTTTAGAGCTCGCTGTTGTGGTTAGGGGATTCCTTCAACAGCAAGGAGTCCACTATACAAAGTCGTACGCTGCGGTGGTATCAGGACCCACGTCCCGGAGCTTATTCGCGATTTCAGCAGCAAAGGGGTGGAAAGCCAAGGCGATCGACTACGTCTCCGCGTTCTTGAACGGCATACTGCCGCAACACGAGATGGTATATATGCAACTGCCTACAGGGATTAAGCACGGCAGGGGGGGCCTAGTTGGCCTGCTCCGCCAGAGCCTTTACGGGATGAAGCAAGCAGCGAGGGTGTGGTATTTCCTTGCGACGGAACACCTCACCACTCTAGGATTCAAAATCTCGCCGTACGATGGCGGATTCTTATATCACCCTATTCGCAAGATCTACCTGACATTGCACGTCGATGACTGTCGGGTAACGGGACCCCAAGAGCAGCAATTAGACTGGATATTGGCAGAGATTGCTAAAAGGTTTGAGACAAAGGATGTCGAAGAGAACAAGCCCTACCTTGGAATGGAAGTCAAACGTCAAATGAACGGCGACCTAGCGGTTACCCAGAACCGTTATATCGATGAGATCCTTGAGGATTTTGGAATGGACAAGGTCAACCCGGCCAGCACGCCGATGGCGGCCGGCATACGCCTAGAATTCTCACCAGATGAAGATAGCGGGTTAGATGACGATTTTACTGCTACTAGATATCGTCAAGGCTTAGGATCGCTGCAGTATTTGGTGTCAAGCAGCAGACCAGATCTGGCATTCGCGGTCAACTACCTCTCACGTTTCAACTCGCGTCCGCACAAGAAATGCTGGGCGGCATTAAAACACGTCCTACGCTATGTCAAGAAAACGAAGGATCACGTTATCCTATACAAGAAGGAGATGGTTGAGGGACTCAATCCTGTCGCGTACAGCGACTCAGATTGGGCAGGGGCGGACCCCCAATACAAGTCAACTACAGGTTACATTATCATGCTAAACGGAGCACCAATCTCGTGGCGATCGCAACGGCAAACTTCAGGTGCAAAATCAACCACTGAGGCGGAGTATATCGCGGCAAGTGAGGCAGCGTGCGAAGTGATCTGGCTGAATGACATGTTATTTGATGCTGGATTAGTAGAAGGGAAAGCGAAGGTATGCTCGCACCTGCGAGTTGACAACAAGGGCGCGATAGATCTAGCAAAAGGGGAGTCCTTGACAAGGAGGTCACGTCACATCGAGATCAGATACCATATCCTTCGCGATCTGGTTGAAAAAGGCGAAATCATGATGGAACACGTTGGTTCTACGGCCAATATAGCTGACGGCCTCACCAAGCCACTGGCAAGGCCTGCCTTCGAAGAATTTGTTAAGAGGATTGGCTTAATGGAAATTGGCAAGAAGGGGTGAAGGTAATGATGATACGGGAGTTTACAGATTTTGCTTGTGTTATCCTGTTTTTTACGGTTATTGCCATACGGGAGCCTATTCCCAAAGAGGAAATCAGGGTCTGATTCTTGTAATTAATTATTATTGCGTTTTTAGAAGAATTGAGCAAGGGGGGGGCCCCCGGGCGGCAGAGCTTTGGCGGCGCCGTAGCACGGGGGGGTGTTAGTGGTACTACGGCTACCCTATCACGTGCCCCCCAACATATTGTGTTGCTCTCGCGTAGTTAGTTTTAGTAATGACAACAACGTTATCCTCCCACAATCTGTGGGATGGTTGATCTTCTCATTGTGCGATCGCTAGCTAACTATATATAGGGGTAATCACGTGCGGTGGAGGGCCGCCTGGGCAACTAGTGCCCAACACCCCCCCACGCGCCAACGTGCGTGATGTGTTCCTACGAATCTTCCATGCTAGCTATCTCAACTTGGATCATCCCAAAATCATGCTACATACAGAAATTTAATCATTCTCACTGTTACCAGCGAAAAGTCCTAGTAAATCAATGAAACGCCTAAATGCCACTGTGCCCAGAGGTTTGGTTAATCCGTCTGCTACCATATCCTCAGTGGGAACGTGTTTAATAGAAATAACGCCTTCGTTCAATTGCGTGCGAGAATAGTGGAAGCGAGTGTCGATATGCTTGCTGCGTGCCGTGATCGCGGCAACGGTAGCTAGGTCGATTGAACCTTTGTTATCTGCCCTGATAGGCAAGGGGTCCTTTGCTGTAACGAATCCTAGTTCCATCATCATATTGCGCAACCACGTTGCTCCGCGTACTGCTTCGCTAAGTGCCACGTATTCTGCCTCATTTGAACTTAAAGAAACACAAGGTTGTTTGGACGAACGCCATGAAATCGGTGCACCTGCTAACTTGAATATGAAGCCTGAAGTAGATTTGCGTTCGCCGTTCAACGGTCCTGCCCAATCCGAATCTGTATAACCTATCGGCAGATATGACGCGTTGGGGAATTCATCGATCTCGTTCTTGTGGCCTTCGTATAAGATGCCAAGGTCGCTCGTTCCTTTTGAGATATTGTATGACGCGGAGGAGAGCCCTCCACGCCTTAGGTGTAGGCGCAGTATTCTTCTGCGCTAGTAGGGGATGCTGCTCGCGCAATATCCTGGGGCGTAATTTGACTGCCAGATACTGCAAGCACCCTTACTCCGTGGTTGGTATCGGCTTTTTTGGGTGGACCCCTTCCTTCTCGTTCCTGGACA